ATACAAATTTTTAGCGTCGTTTAATAGGATATTTTTCTATAAAATTCGTTTGCTAACAAAAGATAGATTTTTCTGAATATTGAATCAGGAAAAATAGATCGTTATCGGGGCGCCAAAATCTGTTTTCCTACGGTAATAACGATATAGAAATTAATATCGTGGCATTCCCAGCTGTTTAACGTACACAAACGTAATTATAAACGACTTCCAGCTTAAAAAAATTCTTATTTGCCGGCAAAATTGGATCAAAATGCTCAAAAAAAACTAGAAATTCCAATTTAAACGTCAAAAAAAAAAGTTTTTAGATGAATTTTTCTGTAGTAAATTAGCAAATACATAACAAAAACACTAAATAAAAGAATTTACTGCCAAAAGAATCATACCGTTTTGACTCTGTGCCGCAGCGTCACCTCCGCCGAGATCTTGAAGCATCTCGGGCAGCGGTTGTCCGGCTTCGATCAGCAACTGCTTCAGGTCCGCCATGATGTTCATGTCCGTCCGTCGGTTGATGAACGTTGTCGCCAGACCACGCCGTCCTGACCGTCCAGTACGACCGATCCTGAAAACGATAGGTTATAAAGAAATTTACAATTCTTACCTATGGACGTAATTCTCGATATCGTCGGGCATGTCAAAGTTGAGCACGTGTTCGATGCCCTTGAAATCGAGACCCTTGGAGGCGACGTCTGTCGCGACGAGCACGTCTTTGTCGCCGCGGCGGAACGCTTCGATACCCTCGTGACGGTCCTGAAATTATGTAAACCAATTAAAACGTATTTCAAATACAATTCATTTATAAAATATAGAAATTTCTGCGGATCAGAACGCCTCCGGCATTTTTTTAGTTTTTAAAAAGGAATCGTATAAAAAAGCTCAACTGGAATATGAAGTACTCCCAAAAAAAAGGACTTTTTGGGTTCTTTCGCATTATCGGGGGGACTAAGTTTTTGTCTAATCATCATTTTCCAATATAAATAAAGGCGGCGTTTTTAAACTGCTTTTTTATTACTAAGCTTAAAAACGTCATAAATTACGATTATAAACACGCAAATATAAAAGTTTTTGAACCCAAAATGGCCGATCGTCGTCCAAAATTTCGACTTTCACAAAGTTTTAGATACTTTTTCCGGTCAAAATCTAGTTAAATTTCACAAAAACGCTAATAAAATATTTCCTAATAAGTTACTAGATCTTTCCAGATACGTGCAAAAATTCAGTTCCCCCCGATAATGCCAAAGAATCCTAAAATCAATCTTTTTTCGATCTTCCAAGCGCTCGAAAAACGTAGAGCAGCACTAACCTTCTGATCTTTTCCACCGTGTATCGCCGCCGCTTCGACCCCCTTCACGAGAAGATATTCGTAGATGTTGTCGACGTCGAGCTTCTTCTCAGCAAAAATCAACACTCGGGGAGACGTCTTTTGCAGCGATTCGAGCACCTATGATTTCAATAAGTAGCCAGAAAGAAACTGTATACCTTGACGAGCTTCTCCTCACGGCTGACAAACTCAAATTCTTGGCGCACGTTGAGTGAGGCCGCTCCGGCACGGCCCACGTTGACAATGATCGGGCGGACGAGGGCGTTCTTCGCAAAGATTTGAATCTTTTTCGGCATCGTCGCCGAGAAGAGCAGCGTCTGGCGTTGGGCTCTGCAAAAAAACGGTTTTAAAAGGTTTTCAAAATTTAAAAATATATTGACGTAAAAAATACAGAAACGATGTTCGTTTTTCTCAATCAAGGTGATTCGAAAATTCTGCCGAAACCACTATGAAAAAATTGCAACGCCAAGAAAACAAAAAACTTTTTAAAGAATTTCGGAAAATTAGGCCTTGATAAAACGTAAGCATACCTGAAATACGAGAAAATGCTCTTGATCTCGTCCTCAAAACCCATGTCCAACATTCGATCGGCTTCGTCGAGCACCAGATAACGGCACAGCTGCAGGTTGAAGATCTTCTTCGACAGCATATCCGACAACCGGCCCGGCGTCGCGATGCAAATGTGGACGCCTTGGTGGAACATGCGCGCTTGTTCGCCTGAAAAAAAACACAAATAATTTTTTAATATGGCAAACGTTATTATATAATTTATTTAGCAACATAGAACGTGATTAATAAAGTACCTGACTGTTAGCAGGCGGGAAATAATTTTTCCCAAATTTCCCAAATTCTGTACCGACCCTTAGCAAACAATAAACCATTTTTAGATCGTATTTAGATACAAAAACCCCCATAAAAATAATAAAAAATCTCGAAAACTTGGTCAAAAATGTATGAGATATGCCCAAAAAATACCAAAATTCCGAATTTTCCTCATTTTTTAAAGAATTTTGTAAAGGGGATAACAAAAATTATTCCCCCTGCTAACAGCCCAGTGCCGTTAAATTAATTTTTCTCACCTAACGGCTCGCCGCCAATGCACAGCGCGACTCGGATTTGTGCGTATCGAGCTCGGGACAGCCCGTGGCAAAGATCACTGACGACATCGTGGATTTGATGAGCCAATTCACGAGACGGGACGATGACCAGGGCAAACGGACCTAGAAATAAGCGATAAACAAAAAAAAGAGGGGCTCACCCTCTCCGCGGTCAAAAGGCAGTGCCGTCTCCTGCTCCAGCGCGAACATAACCATCGGCAGGGCAAAGGTTATCGTCTTTCCGGAGCCCGTTGACGCAATCCCGATCATATCACGACCGCTGAGCGCGACGGGGCAGCCTTGTACCTGAAAATAAAAATAGAATTTTCATCTTGCTATCGGTCAAAACTAAACCCAAAATATAAAATATTTTTAGAGTGTTTTCACAACAATAAAACTGTTTCGAGTATTTTCGTATACTTTACGCCTGACGTTGAGGGCGCGCTGGTAGACGCCCGACACGTTGTACTTCTCGGTGGGGTGCACCTGAAAGTAGGCGTTGAAACACATAGCAATAGAAATAAAAATGTCGAAATCCTCTCAAAACGTCAAAAATTTTACATACCTCAAGGGTCCAGTTGGCAAGCTGGTACTCGTTCTCGCTCTTGACGAACTGCAGCGTCAATTTCCAGGTGTCGGTGATGTTCGGGATGGGACCATCTGAACAACGCACAGGTTTCGGGGCTTTCGCACTTTCGGCGGGAAAACTAAGACATTATGCCTAGAAATCGAATAAGGAGTCGCTTTATTTGAAGGAAGAAATGGCGAAGACCATTTAAAATAACAAAATTTCCGATATTTTGCTCCAAATTGACCATTTTACATAGCAAATCGTTTGTCTCTCAAAAATTATGAAGATTCTATGCTTAAAAACGTGCAAACACCAGAAAGCAGTTTGGTTACCACCGCCGATAATGCCAAAAACCAAAATTTTTAACAAATACCAATCCGGGTAGAAGGCGACCGTCATGATGTTCGCGTGCTGTAAGTCCTTGACGGGGGCTACACTGAAGCAGGTGCCGGTGACAGTGGCGTTGACGATATCCAGCGTGAAAGACGTATTGCCTTGGTGGATGCTGACTGTAAAGTGTTTTTACTCAACTTGGAGTTTCGATTCGGGACCAAGTGCATCTTGTACAGAATTTTTCGCTGATTCCGAATATGTTTTCCAAATTTGCTACGGACCGTTATTCTGAAAGTTATACGGCAATTATGGCCCCAGTTTTCACCAAAATGAAGGTATCGTTATAGTTTTCGATTTTCTTCATTAATTTCAACGTCAAAATTGACTAGGCGTTGACCCGACAAGCATCCTACAGCTCAAAACAAGCATTTTAGATAAAAAATGAGATTTTTATGCAAAAAGCAAAAGAAATGATGCAGGGCGGGGGTTCGAACCGTCGCCCTGTGCTTGGCAAGCGAGTACTTTGCCAACGCACCATGGTGCCAAGTGGCTGGGGTGTTGTCAGAGGGTACTTCAGGGCTCCTGGGAACCATAGCCCCAAACAAGGAATAGTGGGCCAGCGTCTGAATTTGTAGCATTTTTCGGCCTAATTGTTACCAAAAATGATTTTTTAAATAAAAGTCCGTAGCAAATTTGAAATACATATTCGGAATCAGCGAAAAATTCTGCACAAGATGCGCTTGGTCCCGAATCGAAACTCCAAGTCGAGTAAAAACACTTTACAGTGAGCGTTGGCTGGAAAAATTAAATTACTACAAAATTCTACAGAAATTATGGTACTTTCGTAACAAGCAAAGTAAAAAACCAACCTTCGATTCCACCATCACGCACACCTTATTATCCTTGGTCGTCGGATTCTTGACGTACCACAGATCGGCCATCGCACCGACAGCAAGAACGCTGCACAGAAGGAAGAGCTTCATGACTGAAAACTGAAAGAGGGTTCTGTAAAAAGTAAAAAAGTAAGCGAAGACGATGCATATAATACACTTAAATTGGCTTAAAAATCGTTGTTTTTATAGTTTTTATGATCGCGCATAAAGAGATTAGCGCGCAGGATTTACCAAAATCGCGAAAGTAGCTATCTTCTCCCGCTAACAACATTAATATCTTTTTCGATTTACGCTACTTTGAATATTTGACACGCTAACAAAACCCCAAGTTGGCGTGCAACAACAAAAACAAAGCTTGTAAGCTTCAAGCGGCTTCAAAAATTGTCTAGGTGCTCTTATCAGTAATATGAAATCTTTGTAAAGGTATTAGTCATCGTTCCTAAACGTTTACTTCAGATGCAACTTTCGCTTTATGTACCACCAGTTTATTCTTACAAAAGATATCTCTAATAGAATGCCACACGGTACAGATGAGGTATAGTAGATCGTTCAGAAGCAAGAGAGAATTACGAAATTACGAGAAGTTATGAGAAATACGAGAGAGAATAATCATGTCGGGGGCAATGAACCGGGGTACCGATATATACAAACTCAAAAATGGGTAATTTTACGGAGGCTGCTGCGGCGGCCGAAGAGGCTTGCTCATCATTACATTTCACGGCCATACGTCACATAATACCATTGCTGACACTGGATGCAGTAAACGGCGTCCTGAAAAACTGAAGCTACATTCAACTTCAAATAGAGTAACTGCCAGAATATAAAAACCAACCTGAATCTTTTTGCTGTCCATACAGAGCGGGTGAAATTGCGTTTCACATCTTTGGCAAATTAGGCGACCACCTAAAATCTCAGTGAAAGGAACAAGAGCAACAATTACCTGCAAGCGGATTCGGGCATCTCCGCCCGTCACACCGCTGCAAGGCCATGTTGAGCATTTCTCCCTAAACGATATAATTGATAGGGAAATGCACACACTAAAACGGGGGCTTTACCGGCAGACTTCTGCCTCGTATACAGCTGCACTAACGCGTGACTTTCGAAAAACTTCGGTAGGCGCTTTTTGCGCGAACGTGATCGCCATGATCAAAAACGCCAATGCTTGACAAACGATTTTTTTTTCGGTTACGGTTTTCTTGAAGCCCACGCGCATGGTTGCCTATCGGGGCCTGCAAACGTCAGCAAAACAATGCCGCTCAACACAACCGCCCACCGTCCTTTAAAAAGCACGTACCTGCACCGTATAGCGCACCGCTATCTCGTTATCTTGTCGGTTCATCGCCCGCACTATGCCATACACAATCACACTGATGACGAAAGCTGCGGCGAGCACGACGAAGCCAGAAATTGCCGCGTAGAGGATCCAATTGCTGAGACCAGTGACCTCCACAACGTGTTCTAGGGCTGCGCCGAAAAGGTAGCTCACGACGCTCATCACGGTCCAACCAATGAGCGCCTTTGTAGCGATCAACCTAAAAAGGTGGCCGTAATACAGTCTAGGGTAAAATGTCCAAAAAATATCCGAAAACTCACATTTTCTCGCGCATTACTAAGCGTCGGCTCGTCTTCTTGCGACCTTGCGCCATCTGCGATCGTCGACTGGAAAAAAAATTTCTATTAAATCCCATAGTACGAGTCCAATCAACAAGGCCATCAAAAGGGCGGTCAGCCATTCAGGTACGCTGCGCACTCACAGCTATTTTCCGCTTAGCTAACCAAAAATTTTTTTGTAAACGCTTGAATTTCATCACCAAAGCAGCGGAAATATTTTTTTGGGCCTTGCAACCGTGCCACTATTTCCATCGATCGATCGATTGATCGATAAATTGCCGCGCATAACGAAGGGCACCTAATTCCACCGTAGGAGGCCGCTGGACCCGCAAAAAGATAGTTCCTGCCAAACTGTTTCCCTTTCCGAGGTTCTCTTCATCTATCCGGATTGCACTCGGATAATGGTTTTTTTCGGTAGCCGTTAGCCTTTCGCGATTTCTGATGGTCAAAACGTGACGTTTTGACCTACTCGAAAGTTTGGAGCTTAAAATGCCGCGCAAACATCCATGAAAGTGTGACTGAACCTATGAAACTCCATCGCGGCCGGGTTTTTTTGTGTTCTTGCCTTTGCATGGGCGTATTGTTGTATTACTATTATCATTTTGGATATCATTCCAGGGCGGTACCGCGGACGCCATCGTTGAGAGTAGATGGCAGTCAGTCTAGACATTTTAACTTCTCCCCTAAAATACTTTTGTGTTGCGGTTGATGGCGGAATACATGCTGATGAATGCAAGAACCCGGGATAAAGAAGCTACGGAGTGACAAAAATCAATAAATGGGCCAAGCAATGCGCTGCTAATCGTATTTAGCCGCTGGAAAAATCTGCGTTACAATATCCTTTTCTCCTCGTTACCCATTTTCTGCTCCCAAAAAGTCACAAAGAATGCGGTATAATCATTGTTTAAGGCTTTATTAAACAGGGCAGATCATTCTACTAACGTAAGCAGTCAAATTTCGCGTCTCAGCCCCTTTCGGCGATGATAGGGCAGTGCACGTGCAGGTCCATCAGACTCGAGATTCGTCTTGCTCTGATTTGCCGCCCACCGCCTGCTAGCAGATGCGAGGAGTGACTCCGCTAACTGGGGCAGCAAAAAATTATTATTGCAACTGTCGTTCGACCAAAATTATAGAAATTATAGAAATGAAAGAATAAAGTTTAATATACAGGACCTGACCGCAGACCTGTCGGATTTTTACGATTTAGGTATCTATCGAAAGCCCTCGAAAAGGCGAGTCCAGCACGTCTCGTCAATTTTCGAACTGGCGGACTTTTGGCTGGATTTTCGGCATTTTTCATGCAAAAGTACACGCTTTTTGGTTCAAAACGCAATTTAACCGGTTTAAGCGCTATCCAGGCTGTGTTTTCGCAAGCGGCTTTTAAAAAGCTGTCGCTAGGGTGCCAGGAACGGCATAAAAATTCTTAAATTGCAATTTTTGTAAAAAAACCTTTTGGTCAGAAAAACATCAGAAAAGCCGCCCATTTTGCAAAAACATCAGTAAATTTTCTGAATCGAAGTGCCGTGCTGGACTCGCCCTTCCGAGAGCTTTCGATAAATACCTAAATCATAAAAATCGGCCGCCTAGGGGGCGGGGGATTTCTTTTGGAACACCCTGTATACAAACCATTTTCTGAAAAAAACAGTAGAATTTTCAGGCGGGAGATGCATCTTTTGAAGTCAAACGCGTCGCGAAAGATGACGTTCCCCTTCAATCACCACGACCAATAAGCGGTCCTTATTGTTTTAGACGTAAAATCTCTGTTTTGTATAGAAAGGCTTTATTATACGTCGCAGATCAAAGCATATAAGCATTGAAAAAGTTAGTAAGATATTTAATTTCAGCCCAAAATACTATACTTTAAAAACCATCATTTCGTAAGTCGAAAAGTTTCATTAGTGATAAATTGTTGTAAACAAAGTTTTCCGGGCTGAAACCAAATCTTTTAGTGCAATTTGGACGCTCAAATCGATGGCAGTTTGCAGGGCCCCAGGAAATTCTCAAAATAACAAATTTGCCCCCCTTTAAGCAACCTTTACCCAGATCGCATCGCCGGCGAGTGGTCGCCACAACTTGTGCAGTACCACGGCACAAAACTACGAAAAGCCCCCGGTTATCACCGACCCATAATAATTATTTTTAGCTTTCAGGCATCGCTCCAGTTTTCACTTCAATTGGCGCATCAGGTGGCGCGGCGAAAGCCCTGACACGCATCTAGCCGCCATCTGCCCAAACGACGCCTTATCGTGCGCAGGAAGCTGCATTGATAGGCTGCAGCGGGCCAACTGCCCAATCGATACGCGAGAAGATGTTGGTGTTCATGCAGCCGCACTAATGTCCGACAATATCAACAAAAACCCCCGCTAACCTAACCAAGACCACGCGCTTCCATGACCCCCATAGTTTGTCTGATCCACCAGATCTGAAAAACACAAACCTTGTGTAAAGGCCCCAAAAAACGGCCAGCCGGTCATAACGTCGGCTCGGCCCGCCTCCCCTCGATGTCGTTCTCGCGCACCATGTTACCTGTAAAAATCTGCATTGAATTCGTAGTGACAAGGGTTTGAGACGAAAGGAAAAAACTCACGAGAACACGCGACTTCACGCACAGGGCTGGCCGGGATGAGGTCGACCATTGCCCGCGTCCTAGCCGTTCCTTTCCTGCAAACAACTCTTTTAAAAGCATGCAAATTGCATTTCTTTACGGCGAAAAATTCAATCGTGCTCTTAGTAAAATGTCACTATATTTCAACTAGAAAAACTGCCAAAACACTTTAAAAAATGTTCAAAAAAATCCGCATTTTGGTCAAAAATCGATTGTTTTGTATTATCAAACCAAAGGTTGTAATTTTTTACATTTCGGATGAGTAAGGAACTGTTTAGAAACACTTGTGCAATTTATATGAGCAAAATTGGATCCTAAGAAAACAGTTGCCCCCCCCCCCCCGATATGGCAAAAGAACCGATAAAACGACAACGATTGTCGCTACCACAAGCCCAACACGGTTAACGCATCTCAAATTACGTCTGTTTATAAAAAGCGAAGAAAATTATCGGTTTTTGGAAAAGACACGAACCTTGTGATACCGAGATTTCCAAAAAAAGGGCCGGCCGATCATGACCTCGGCTCGGCCCGCCTCCCCCTCGAAGTGGTTCTCGCGTGCCATTTTCGCCTGTAAAAATCTGCATTGAATTCATAGTGCCAAGGGTTTGAGACGAAAGGAAAAAAAAACTCACGAGGAGAACACGCGACTTGCTGCATAGGGCTGGCCGGGATGACGTCGACCAGCCCCCGCAATTGGCCCTGGCCGGGATGAGGTCGGCCAGTGGCGCTCGTCCTTGCCGTCTTTCCTGCAAAAAACTCTTTTATATTTTTACGGCGAAAACCTCTAAAAACCGCTCAAAACCAATTCCATTCAAAATTTTAATAGAATCTAGATTTCAACAATGCTACCACTTAAGACAATGTTAATATCAGATTTGATTAGCCAACTGCACTATGAATTCGTCGGAAACAGGGACAAACGGATCTTTTGCAATATCGGGGGGGGGGGGCAAATTTTTACGTCAAGTCTGGAAATGTTTAGTAATTTCGTACACGCAACGCAACGCGTACGCCCCCGACGTTCCTTTGCGTAACCGATTGCGACACTTTCAAGGTGGTCAACGGGGCGTGCGCGTTGTGTGTAGCGCGTGTCGGGAAGTCTACAATCAGCCTTGCAAGGTTCTTTACAGGCCCAGGAGACCAAAAATAGCTCACCATTAGCATGATCATGATGAAGAGCGGGTAAACAGGGAATCGGGCCCTCCTCTGCTCGATCTCCTTCTCCGATGGGCACGTCATATAGATAAAGCGGTGCTGGAGCAGGTAGGTCCGCAGCTTCGGCAGTGGCTGAAGAAAAAGAATGATAAAAAAGGCCTGAAAAGCTAGTAAAACCAATACGAGATCAAAAATTTCATATTCGCGAGTCGAAAAATCTGACTTTGAATGGGGAGAGTATTAATCAGCTAGAAAGTGCTTAAAATCTATTTTTATATTGTTTTTAATAAAATTTAGCTCAACTAGAAGTAGCAGAACGGTTCGAAAAATCCAGTAAATGCCTAAAAATGCGAAATTTTCACAATTTCAGACGGAAAAATGGGTTTGTCGGCCTGCAAAAATTCTTAACCCAAAATCCACAGGTCTATCGGAGCCCTGGTGGACACTAAGAAGCTCTTTTTGCAAAGAAAAACGTACCGGCTTCTCGCAGCTGACGGGAATGGAGCCGCAGCGCCGTGTTGAGAGATCGTCGCGAACCTGGAAAATGCGTTATAAAAATCGAAGTTATATTCAAATTGAGGCGAGAGAACGTGTGTGCGAGAGAGAGAGAGAGAGAGAGCGAGAGAGAGAGAGCGAGAGAGAGAGTGAGAGAGAACAAGATCAAGATATAGAAATTGAAATTACCTTTGTCATATATTCGGGCAAAACGGTCCAATGAATATTCAGCCGATCGCACAGGATCCTCCGCATCACAAAGAGTACCACCTCCTAAAACCGATTTTTTTTTCCAAATAATTTTGGTTCTCACCATGCTCCATGCATAGCACTCGACGCACAGCCGCTCGATAAACCTCTTCGACAGATCGGCCAAAGCGTTCAGCGAGTCCCGGGAAACCGTCTGAAAAAACGGAAATAATATTATTTTCACCCGGAATCGAGCTTTTTCACGATTTCAGAATATTCTAGAGCTAATTTTCAACGTTTTTGCGGACTACAATTTTTCAACTAGTTTTTCAAGTTGCCAAAGCTAGCTAAATGTTAAATTTATCAAAATTTCCTCCAAAAAAATTAATTAAAAGTCTTACAGCTCTTAAAAGTCGGATTTTCAAGCAAAAAATGCGTAGAAAAAACCCTTAAACATTTATTTCAGCTAAAAACCAATCAAAATGTGGTGACGCTTTTTAAATAGGTGCTATCGCTGAAAAAAGGATACAGAAAAGCATATTTCCAAGTTTTCCATAGTTTTTTTTATTAAAAACTAAAAAAAGACGACTAAAAAAGCTGAGGAACGTCCAAAACTCACTATTTTTCACGAAAACACCCCTGAAGTTTCGAACGAGCTAAACTCGTGCGTATTAAAAAGTGTCAAGAAATCTATAATGGTGGTTTTTCACGCAAAACCGACCGTAAAATTGAAGATACCGAGCACACGGGCCGTACTCCTCGCCATCATCTGCCGGGCATAGTCCTTGTTGGATCACATTTCCGAAGTGTAGGCGGCCTACAAATATGAGCTTTGTACGTGTGATTTTGACGTCTAACGACTAATAATCGGCGTTGAATGTTTTTACTCGCGTTCTGGAGTTTTGAACGCGAGAGCTCGTGCTCATTCGATAGTTTGAAATTCTGGAAAATTCTATAAGTCCAGGATAGCCTACAAACGTCATAGTAAGTGTTTTACTAGTATTTTTCGTCAAATTTACTAAATTTATAGTCGAAAAAACACAGCATAAAAATTCGGTCAAATTTCACTCGAAAATCGCCATTTTTTCGTTATCAAAATTTGTAAAGTTTCTACGTTTAGGAGTCCTAAAAACAGTTTAGAAACACTTTTTCCGTTTAGATTAGAAAAACTGCATCCTGAGAAAAAATGTCCCCCGATAATGCGAAAGAATCTCCTTTTTCATTTTTTAAAAGAAGTGTTTTGTTCAGAAATTCCAGCTCTATCGAATGAGCAACATCTTTCACGGCGAAAAACTCGAAAAGGCCTGAAAGGCACTGATTTTGTTAGATCAGAAACATACCTGTTGTCCGATAACTGTCGTTGTAGAAGATATTGAGTGGGCTGTAGATGGGTGTCGAAGCGGAAGAGACTTGTTGATGGTAGAAGAAGAGGGCCCAGGAGGAGGAGGGCCTTGGCCCTGTGATGCGGATGATGATTGTGATGATAGGGCTGTTGATGGGGCCATCAAGCCAGATGTCGAGGCGGCTCGCCGGGTGCCTGCAAAAAGAATGGAGGTGATTGTTTTTTAAAGCTGGTAGGTAAAGCCGGTAAAACACACACTGAACTTTTTTTACATAAATCTAGAAATGCTTAGTAAATTAAAGCCAAAAACTTTTAAAGTCAACAAAGCTACCACTTTACGATATTTTTAACATAATATCGGATTAGACACCGGCACGCTGAATTCGTGGGAAACAAGGCCGAAAAATCAATATTTTGCTAATTTTCATAGAAATTGGTAAAGTTTGCACGTTTCGGAATAGTCAAAAAAATACAGTTAGAAACAATTCTGCTACTTATTATAAAAATGGCATCCTAAGAAAAAAGTTGGTTTTCCGGCGAAAAGGTGGCGGAAAAACCCACTTGGTGCGTGTATTTTTCGGCACCTTTACGCTGAGCTGACGAATCAGTGAATCAAGCATAATTTAAAGGAACCCGAAAGTCAAAATCCACCAACCATCGTGGAACCAACTGCAGTCGATTGCTCGTCACGTCCTGGTGGAGATGACGGGGTGCTCACTTCTAAAAATATGCATTAATGGGGGCTATCAATAAAAAGTGGCTCTGTAAGTCTAAGGAGATGTAAAATGTCTCCTTGTTAATGGGCATTATGAAAAGCTAACCAACCTGCATTCACTCCTCCGTTTCCAGCACGATCAGCTTCAGGCTTGATTACCCCCTGAAAAACGAGGGTATACGAAAGATTGGACGCGAATACAATTGAGAAGAGAATGCGATATCTAGATAAGGTAATTTAAAAATCGAAAAAGCCGGCATAGAATACGCCACAATGTTTCACCCTGTTTGAGCACCCTGGCCTGGGAGATTTTTGGAAATTTTTGATGGAACCGGAAGACGATGCAAATATTCAAAAAGCGGCTTGAATCCACAACCAAAAATCAAAAAGCAAAAGAATTGGTGCAACCCAGACCCGAACCTGCCAGAACTGGTCAAAAAAAGATTGAAGGACAACGGCGCAAACCATTGCACCACGACGGCCATGCACCGGGGGAGGTCGCCGAGCCCTTTCCCCCAGCGGATGCATCCGAGAGACGCTCGAACGGGGTGGGCAAGCGCAGTAAGTAGATTTGTTTTTGATTCATAAAATCGGGAACGATTCTGCAACAAAACTTTTCTGCTTAACGGAACAAACTTTTTTTCGGCGCAAGCCGAGATCGCTGATGCGCTTGTACTTTGTCTTAACTATTTCTGAGCACAAAAACTACAAATTTTAACAAAAAGTTTCGTATTATTGAAGTTAGGGGCGGGGGCGCAAACTTTTTCTTGTAGGTCTAAAATTTTTTGAATCGAAACGAACCCAAAAAAACAAACACCAAAATTTTGACTTTTTTAGACATAATTTCCAACAAACAACAAAGTTTTAACGGCTGAGCAAGGTAATTCTTTTGCGATGGCGATCTGGGGCCGAAGCCATTAAAACATTGATTATTAAAACAATTTTATAGCATTTTGCAATATGTTTGGTATGAAATGGTTTAAAAAAATTAGAACAGTTTAGAAAAAGTCAGTTTTTGGATAAGCGTATGAAAAATGACCAAAACTGGTCGAAAACTTCGGATTTTTAAGGTGGTCTAGTAAAGTTAATTGTTTTAGTGAACGTATACGACTAAAAACATTATTCATGGAAAACATACAAATACTTGAGGCAAGTAGCAAAGACCTTGTAGCACAAAGAGAGTAGCATTGATGAATGCCGTGGAAATATATCGTGCATGCATTGCAAAGCCGGTGATTATTTCTGGTGCGGGATAAGAAGTGATACTTTATTGATCGACGAAAGTCTAAAAAATGACATGAAACCAGTCGGAAAATCACAATGCGGATGACAGCGCAACGTTGTGACCACGCCGTGCAGAAGAGCTGTTGTGCGGCAGACCTGCAGCGAAAATTATTAAAACTTTTCAAACGTCAAAATACAAACTACGACGCCGCTCACGAATAGTCAATTTCAAAAATCCTTACTTGATTGTGTCGACAATCTCCCTCGTCAGCCTCGCCGATAACAGGAAGCGGACGCTGTCGCCCCACGTCTCCTCGCACAGCGTTTCGAACCGTCATATTGCACCTAGTCTGAGCCGAGGGAGGCGGTAGTCAAATGGGGAGGGGGAAGCTAATTTTTAATTTCCGCCTTTTCGATATTTTCGCTAGTTTTTTTTTGGGGGATTTTTTGATTCCATAGGATAGAGCAGCGAAAAATATATTAATTTCTAATGATAGCTCAGAATGATGGCATAGAAAAACAAGTTATAGCAAAATCAATAATAACCTACGAGAATGTGGGTTAAGACTTTAGTTTTCGACATTTACGCTATTGGTGCTAATGCAATTAGGGGGGTAGCAGTCCGGATTTTGACTACAAGATGCTCTAAACGTCGTTTTTTTGAAACCCTAAGCCTAAGCCTAGGCTGAGCTTCATGCCAACGAAGCCTAAGCTTAGCTTGAGCCAAGCTAGGCTTTGATCCAAGCTAAGCCCCTAAATGACCTCATTTTGACCCCGTAAGGCAATTTAAAGCTCGAGATAAACTTAGTGGGCTTAAGCCTAAGCCGAAGCTAGGCATAGTTAAAGCTAAGTTAAACCTAGGCTTAACCTAAAAACTAAGTAGCTTAAGCGGAGCCAATCAAAAACTAGTCAACTTTAATAACTTTTGATAAATTTTGTATAACGAAAAACTGATCCGACTCTCGAAATCGACATCGCCGTCACGGACCGCCTTGTCCATCTCCGTCTCGTCCCGTGGGTGACGCTTCTCGCGTCGTGCATAAACCACGGCCTCTTCTAAAAACCACAATAGCTATTTGAAGAGATTGTACCGTGGAGGCTCCATCGTTGCGGAATCAGGCACGCTATCTCATTGCGTCATCAAAGGCCTCCTAGGCATGGATAATGATTCGAAATAATGACTAGCCATGATTTCATAGCTTTTCTCAACCAGATTTCTCCCCGGATGGAGGAAAGAACCGGAAGCTTATTCGAGGAAAGAACTTCTTCGACCATGGCCACCCGAATGGCGCTGAATATCACCTCGTAATCATTGCGCTTCTTCAAGAATGATAGTTTTTCTTACGCCTCACACGAAGCCCTGAAATTCCCAAATATTTACACATACCAGGTCTCGCGTGCCGATTTCGAAGACACTATGAAGCTTGCGCGCCGTTCCGTCATCGATCCTGGTGTCCATGAACCGTGTTTTTGTTTTGCTATAATGTTCTTCTGATCAGCCGCGAGAATGACAACTCTGCCCTGGAAACTCTGAAAACCGGCTTGCATGAAAACGCAGAGGTCATCGTCGTGTATATAACCTTGAATCCGCGCAATACCCGCAATCGAAAGTCGCCACATTGCTCGACTCTTTCTTATATGTGGCCTGCAATTAATTTGCTACTCGAGTTAACAAGATGGCTACTCATCTTTCGCGAAAATCCTTCGAGGTCTCTTCTTGAAGCCAAGCCCGAAATTTCCCTGAAAAACTGCAAAATCTTATCTTTCCATTTTCTTTCTAATCTTTCCATTTTCTTGTCTTTAGTTCGAGTTCTGGTGACTAAACCCTTTTTTCAGGCATATTCGCCAAGGAGACGTCCGAGATCTTCCACGCATCGAGAATTTGGTGAAGCGGCCGGCGAATGAGCTCTCGGACAAGATATTGTTTTGCTTATTTTCGCCTAGCCTTTTTTCATTTTAGAATCGCTTCCTTTTCGGCAAGCACGGCATCGTCTTCGCGGGCGCTCCAAAATTGACTCAACGCGCACCGATCAACATTCCAGCCTCAACGCCGCAAGGTAAATCTCCAATCTCTTAGGATACAATTCCCTTTTTAGATGATGAAGTGGTGGACGAGCTGGCTGAACGTGTCCGTCTCGAAGCGGAGCGCGCCTTCTTCAATCAAGTGTTGCTCAATCGGCCCCATCCTTCCGTGCATGGGATTCGACTAAACTCGGTGTGTTTTGATTGCTTCTTTGATGTCTTTTCTTGAAACTGGCTGGCAGTCGGCAACTATCGGCGTGTGTTCATTTCGCCAACGCTTGTTTCGTCGATTTTTCTTTTCGCCGACGGTCATCTCGCTGAATTTTGAGGCAAAATAGCAACACTTTACATTGGCAAGTACTTCTGAGCCAAGGAGAATAATATGACAAGCAAGTAATATAAAAATTTAAGGGGTTCAGATGCAGTTTGTCGAATAAAGTGTTGCTATTTTGGCCCAAAACGGCCAATAAAAATGTTGAAACGAACGGAAATCGGCAACTATCATATTCTCAAGCTTTGATTTTTTTATATTTTTTAATTTCAGTCATTCGGAAGTGGAATCAACGACACGCCAAATCGCAACGTCAACCGGCCAGTCACCGGACCAAGGCTGGGCGATCGCCGACTCGCCATATTCGCCGACAAATTGCGCAAATACTTGCGTGCCGGAAAGCGAGCGGTAATTTTTTCTTCTTTTTATTTATTATTCTTTTTAGGATCTCGCTCAACTGCTGAAAGATGCCGTGAAAGAATCGGATAGCGAGGACATCACCGTCGACATGTGGGCACAATTCACTTCGATGGCCGGCAAGCGCTGCAACAACGACATCGACGCCGTCGAAACTTCCGTCGAGCTCGTGCAGCGGGCCACCGATTATTTGCACAAAAGGTATGTTTTCTTAAAGTATTTACTCAAGTTAATTTTTTGATTTATTCGTCTGATTTTATCATTCCCGATTCTTATTTCAGGTGGATCCAGCGATCAAGAAGATGGCATCCCGGCCCCGCGCCCGTCCTCTACCATCATGGCGCTGCCAATCGAGCCCCGGAAGTCTCCACAGCAAACGGGTATTTTTATAGCTGTTTTTAATAATTATCTCGGCGTTCGCCGTTTATTGGGCAGGGAAGCCAATTTTTACTTTTCCTCCTACTTACGCTACTACTTACGCCTAAACATACCTTTTTATCGTAAATTATGTAGTTTATAATCTTTTTAGTAGTTTTATCTAGTAGTCGCTAAAAAGCTAAAAAAATTTGAAAAATTGAAGATTTTGATTATTTTTCGTACATTTCTGACCAAAAGTCAAAAATTTTTCCAAAATTTGATATTTTTTTATAAATTTTTATATTTCAAAAATGCTATAAAAATGGTTTAGGCTACGTTATAGGGCCGTACGGGATTACGTGGAAAAGATGGTTTTTGGCCCGTTAGACCCCCGTTAACAGAGAAGCACCATTATAGCACAAGTATCATCTAGGTAAAGTTGGCAGCCGCCCTGAAAAAGTGCCTAGAAACTTGCAACTTGGTAGAAACTAGAGCGCGCGTTGAGATGCCAGACAAAAAAAAAACATGACTGTTCCCAGGGAAGTCCTGGTTCGCGACACATGTCCTCCGGCTCCTCTCTCTCTCCCCTCACCGCCCGTTTCCTGACCTGTGGCCCAAAAAGTGGCCATTCCCTCCTCCCCCGGGGGCCCATTCGTCTTTTCGCAAAACCCATCACATAATTAGCCGCCCGTAATCTGGCGCCGGCAACGATTTGTGAACGGCTCTCGTGCTGATTTTGGGGAGATTTGTTGCATTTCATCTTCTATTTAATTCTCTCACGTTTCCAAGAACCTTTTACTATCCCTCGGATACTAGGTGGTAAAAACTATCAGACAATAGTTTACAACCCCAGGGGAATATATTTCAGCGATTTTGACCCTCAATTCGTGTTTCCCGAGTGTTTTTTTGAGCAATTCTAAAAGATTTTTACCGGTTTTCTGTCGGTATTATGGTTAGCAAGCACCAATTGTTCTCCTAAATTCTTTACAGCACAAATTAATAAGGTTTCGATAAGTTTTTACAGTTTTTTGCAGCAAAATTGCCCTAAAAATTGAGTTTTATGGGTTGTGGACCGCATCTGAATGGTTGTTTATATTTTCGAGTCCGGTGAATCATTTATAAACCATATCGGAGCCCAAAAACCGCGTTATTTGACTAATTGCGCCAAAAACTAATGGGTGCTCCAAATTGGGGCTTAGGGGGTTGGGGGGGGGTTCGGGAGGTCTACTAGGTGGGGTTTTTTTTTGTTAATTTGGGCAGAGCAACGTAATTCCTGCTATCTTTTTCTAACAAGTTTTTGACTTTTTTTTATCCGTTTTGGTACTGTAAAGTGTTTTTTTTTCTCAGCTTGGCCTTTTGGAATGGGACCAGGCCTATCTTGCGCAGAGTTTTTCGGTGATTGCGGATCGGTGGTCCAAATTTGCTGCGGATCTTTAATTAAAAAGTTATCCGGCATTTGAACTAAAAAATTTTCTCAAAATCTAGATGTCTTACTTTTTTAAAGCTGGGGGATTTTGAACGTAAAAACTTTTACAGGCGGAACCCCGAGTCTAGGTTGAAAAGTATATGTTTTTAGGCAAAAAGCAACCGCTGCCCTGCGCTTTTGGCAAGTGAGGGGGAGGGTAGATCAGCGTCACTGCGATACCCAGGGCAATGCAGGGAATAAAAGGGGTTTCTGGGAGATTTCAAGCATTTTTACTAGAACTTTGGACCCTGCACATTCCTCAACGAGAGCTATTCGTCAAATCGCTTCATGAGAGAGAGCGAGAGAGAGAGAGAGAGAGAGAGAGAGAGAGAGCCTGGGGCCCCTCTGCTTTATGGCCCCTTTAACCGACCTTGTGAGGGCCCATAATTTCGTGCATTAGTCTCGCCGAACGGGAGCACATATTTTTCGGGGGATGTGGAGGTTGAGGAGCCCGCGGTTTCTCAAAGTTCGGCGAGATCCCTGACTTTTGGCCGCAAAATCCTTTTGTTGGGTTCTTTGGCGTTATCGGGGGGGCAACGTTTTTTTTGTAAGCATTCAATTCGAATAAAATAGAGGAGGTGTTACTAAACAATTTTTACTATTCCTAAGCGTAAAAACTGTACATTTTTATTTAAAACTACAAAAAACCCCCGATTTTCGATTTTCTATGAATTATTTCAAGGTGAAAAGGTTTTAAGAATTTTTTTCTAGTGTTGCTTTTGCCGCCCTATAATTTATGCGCGCTGTGCGCCCCAAAATATAGAGCTAATTGGAACTGGCAAGCCCCAATTTACCCCCGGGGAACCCCCCCCTAAAAAAGAGCTTTTTAGCCGTGCCCCACCAAATGGCACACGCCGCACGTCTGCGATCGCTTTAATTTTGCGTCTTTTTGTCGCTATTTTAATTCTTAGCCAGGTTCTTTTGCGTTATCGGGGGGGGGGGCAACTTTTGTTCCTATGCTCAGAAAGCTTAGTAACCTAATAGCAGTTACTTTAATAGCATTTCTAGCAAAATTTTACCATATTTTAGGAAAAAGCATTCCAAAAAATCGGGATTTCGGGACAAAACAAATCGAAATTGATCTAAAAATTCATATTTTGATGGTTTATTCAAAATTTGCAAAATTTGATGTTTAGGAATAGTAAAAACGATTTAGAAACATTCCCGTATTTAGAATAGAAAAATGGGCTCCCTAGAAAAAGCCCCTCCCCCCGATAATGCCAAGGAAGCCCTAGCCGTTTTTGCCATTTGCACGCCGTCTGAATTAATCCCCTCTAATCGAGTATTTTTTTTTTGTTGTGCCCTGCGGTCGACTGCTGCTTTTGCTAAAAGGGTTATTTTCTGGTGGGTAGAGGTGGCCATCGCTAAAGCACCTGGCACGATTTTTGAGGGCTGAATTTTTGCGTCGCCAGGATTGAGTAAAGCGATGCTGTCGTATGGGGTCAGGTTTTAGAAAGGTGCCTCTACTCATAGTAATAAGTCAGTTTCCTCAGAGAAACTCCGCTAGCTTTTCCTTCCCTAAGATTCTCGGATAGCCTGCCTTTTCCTAAAGAATCCCTGCTAGCTTGCGCTTTCCCAAAGGTCTGCCATGCCTCAGGTTTTTTGCAGAGATTCTTTAGGATCCTAAGAAACCTCTGCTAGCCTCCCAAGAAATCTCTACCAGCACCCCAATTCCAATTTTCAGTTTTCACCTGCCTTCACCATCTATCATCAGTGATTTTTTTTAGTTACCGGTTGTATTTGGAAGCTCGTTCTCCCCAAGGATCTTTGCTAGCCTCCGACTTCAGCTTTTAATTCCGCCCAAAAGTGACCCGAAAGGTGCTCCACCCACCCGGGAATCCGGGGTCATATTTTAGGCAAAAGTCAAGCGGGCCGGCAAAAGTTCGGAAAACGACACCGACCACCCGGGGACATTCATCTGAGCCAGGAGGGGGAGGCTCAAAAAAAGCGGAGGGTTGTTTTTGCGAAATCGTTCTCTCTTCCTCCTCTCGGCCTACGGGACCCGAGCAAGGCAAATGCATGGCTTCGGCCCGCCGCCAAAAGATCTCCGATTTCTAAACCTTGGGTACGTGCCTTTCCGACAAACTATTCTTTGTATGTCGCTCGTAGCTAGCCGATTCAGATTACGGAAACTGCCTTTTAAAGGGACGATAGGTCATTACCGTAGATTTTCAGGCTATTTTAGGTCCTATAAGAATCTCTGAATCTATAAGAATCTAGTGGGATTAGTTTAGTGTTTGTTTTTAGCGAAATCCGGTATATTTAAGGTAGTAAAACTGTCTCGAAAGTTTTGAAAATGTTTGAAATTTTGGTCGAAAAATCGTGGTTTTTAGTGCTTTTAGAGTAAAGTTTGGAAAGTTTGACGTCTAGGCAAGTTAAGAAAACAGCCCGCAAGGATATAGGGCCCTCTATTTTTTTGGAAGTTTTATTAAGAAAAAATTTTTCCTTCTTTCTATTTTTCTCTTTTTTTGCTTGGTCGCTGTGTAGATACGCGTCTCCGTAGTCTGATGGGTTCTGGGCTGTTAGCGGAGGGCCCCCCCCCGCTAGGGTTGTAGTGTTTGAGTTACAGTTCTAGGTGTATGACCGTAACTTTGCAGGCGCGATTCTGGGCCCTATCAGAATCTCGGTGCTTTCCTGTTAACGGGGGGGGGGGGGCAGCTAATTTTTTCAAGCTAATTTTTATTTTTACGCCTACCTGTTCATAAATAGTAAAGTGTTTTTACAACGTATTTGGTAGTTTCTGATCGCTATGGTGGTTTTAAGCGAAATCCGCAATGGTTGAGGTAGTAAAACTGACTAGATATCTTCGCAAATTTTGAAATTTTGGTCTGAAAAGTCATGGTTTTTAATGTTTTTAAAGCAAACTTTGGAAGGTTTGACGCATAGGAAATTATTTTTACAGTGTTTTTAGTTGTTTTTTGCAGAAACTTAGGAAAATTATCTTTGAAAAATTTTTAAAATTCATAAATTTGATTTTTAATATTTTTAACGCCTAAAAACCCATGTAAAATGCTATGAAAATGTTTAATTTTGTTGTATGGCCGTAGAATATCACAGTGAAAATTGGTTCCCCTCTAACCCCCCCGCTAACAGTTCAGAACCGTCTGAGATGGTGCTTAAAAAATTCCTATCTGCGTCACGCTTTCTTTGGCTGGCCCTTTGCCAAAAACCTCGATAGCTACTGCCTTTCGTGCCCAGAATTCTGCAATGCAATAAAAATTAATTATGCAAGTAAGGGGTCGACTTTGGCGATTTCCGGCTCGGCCTACTGTATCCGGTTGCAATATAAAGGAGCCGATCCATCAACATCCATTTGCGTCGGGGAAGCCTTTCAATGAAACCTTACATTTCCGAAAAAAAGCGGCTCGGCCTAATTGGTTCCCCAGAAAGAGCCCCGGCAATTTGCAAGGTTTCAGACTATAATCCCTCCCCCATTCCAAATTACGAGTTTCATCGAGAAAAATTGAATTTATTCATTTCATAACATTTTAGCATTTTTTGTCGAAAGACCAATCCGGAAGATTCTCTGGTTCTTTCCCTTTAGCGGGGGGGTTTTTTTCTGTATCTCTACAAATGTCTAGTAACTGATAGCAAATTTGTTATCGTGTTTTTGGCAAAATAAAACTATTTTTCGACTAGAAAACTATCCAAAAAGTTTCAAACAATTTAAAATCTGAGTTTCGGTTAAAAAAACAGCCATTTTTGTCTAAAAATCGATTTTTTAAATTTTACAATAGATTAGAACATGTTATTTTAGTAGAAGAATATTTGAAAAATTTTCAATAGATATTTTTTGGGTGCTTTTTGATACTTTGGCCACATTTTTTTCGCATTTTCCACATCGTTAGCCCGAGAAAACAAGATTTTTTTTGCTGCAAAAAGTCTTACATTTGAGTCAAATGATTTGACCCGTATTCATTTCGAACAAAAGGGCCCGGCTATTCAATTGCGACGCCCGGCCGGTTAATTTACGCCCCCAGCCGTTTCTTGTTTTGCGCTTCGGATTAGTCAGAAAACCCAGCCCTGCGTAAAATGGGGCCCAGAATTTTATACGCTAATTGGATCTGCATTCGGTTCTTTTGCATTATCGGGGGGAGAGACAGACTGTTTTTAAGTCCAGAAATTCCTAGTAACGTAATAATCAGTGTTTTTAGAACAAGTTAAAAAAAATTTTGTTGAAATTTTGTGCAAAAATCCTTTTTTTTTTGGCAATGTTTAATCGCAATTTCTAGAGTTTTTCCTTTTAATAATAGTAAAAAAACCGTTGAGAAACACTTCCTCTTTATTTATTAGAAATTGGATCCTTAACAAGCCCAAATTGATCCCCCGTATTTGATAATGCGAATGAACCATGGAACTTTTTTTTATTCACTTAGTATTTTTTCCTGTTTTTTTTCGTTTCTGCTGTTATTTTCATCCTTAACTATTGCCGCTTTTTTCGGCTTCAATTTCTATGGCCCGAAGCGCTGAACGACTTCCCGATTTGGGCCATTGCCACGTTTTTCGGATCGGGGTACATTTTGTTCTTTAGCTCTCTCTCTCTCTCTCTCTCTCTCTCTCTCTCTCTCTCTCTCGCGCTTTCCGTGCCCCCTCCGGGGGCTACAACTCAACATCCGGCCCATAAAATGGCCCCCCGAGGAGCCGAGCAGATTGTGCGAAATTCGAAGTTTTTTTGGGGAGGAGAGCCCGGGCGAGGATTTATTTTTTTATTTTATAGAAAGTGGTCAGACGCTGTTTTTTGTTGTTTTCTTCTTCGGTTCAGAAAACCGGAAATTGGTACAATTTTTTTGCAGGGTCCAATGCACAACTCCTTCCACAGCGACCGTCTGCCTCTCCTCCAATCGCCCAAAGATGAGGTTATCGTCGATACGAGAGGTACCGATTGTTTTTTGACTAACATATGTTGTGTTCTGGTTCATTACCGGGGGGACTTCGAATGCCCCCCCCCCGCTAACGAACCAGAACTATATTTTTTTAGGTTTAAAGTCTTGAAAAAATGGTTCTTTCGCATTATTGGGGAGGGTCTATTTTTTTTCCGGGAAGTCTGATCATACCTAGTCACGTAATTTTTATCGTAATTTTCATGCTTAGTAGTTTTATTACAATTTTATTCTATTTTTGGTCGAATTTTGGTAGATTTCAACAGAAAAACGGTTTAGAAATCCTAGAAAATGTTTAAAACCCGTGAATTTTGAGCCGAAATCGGCATTTCCGGCGAAAAATAGAGATTTTTATACATTAACAGGCAATAAGTAAAAAGAGAAAGAAATATAACTTTAACACAGAATTTTGAAAAGAACCGCTTTCGTCCAAACGACCAAACGTTACACTCCGAAACTCTTGACCGCTTCAGGGGGATCGTGGTGACCAGTTAGAAAGGGATTATCCCCCTGTTATTTTCCCGTTTTCTTGCACCGCTGCCGGAGGTGCTCTTTGGGATTAGCGCTGCGGGAATTGGCTAGCGCCATACTTTCTTCTGTTTTCAGTAATATAGCAGAACCACGATAAATTACTTGTTTTTCTTTTTTTTTAAATTCTGGGAATTCTGATCACTTTGCCTAAACCCATTTCGCCCGTTTTTTTTTTTACCATTTTCATAGCTGAATTTTGACCAAAAAGTCGGCAATTTCGAGTTTTTACGATTCCTTCGTACATTTTTAAAGATGGTTCTTGAGATTGTTCAAAAAAAGCCATGCGATTGGCTTCAAAACGCGAGTTTTACAAGGACTTTCGAGAATTATGTTTATAAAATAATAAAACACTTGGATGCGTTTCGAAAAATGGTGATTTTTTTTTGGTCAAAAATGCAGCATTGAAAACGGCCAATAATTTAGGCGAAATGGGTTTAGGCGCAAGGTGCTTTAGGCGATCTGGCCGTCACCCAGACTCTGCCAGTAGTTCTCGCGTCCGAAAGCTATCAGATTTTTAGAAAAGCTGTCTGAACGGCAATCTTTGATCCGATTATTTTCCGAAGTGTCCCTTTTTGCCCATTTTCAATTTTGAGCGACCCTCGCTGCAATACTTGACCGCGTCAAGGAGGGCAGGGGGCAAAATCCCAGCCGACAGCACGAGCTTTTGCATTGGCCATCCCGGAATTCAAATATTTTTCTGGTTCTTGCGCATTATCGGGGGAAACCGATTGTCTTTTGGATGTCTAGAAATGCCTAGTAACTTAATAGAACGTATTTTAATAGTGTTTTTAGTAAAATGAAAATATACCGCATTTACAAGGAGCTTTTAAGGTGGGCATTCGGAATTTCGGAACAGACCTACCCATTTTTGTCGCAAAGATTTTTTTGCTTGTTTTTTTAATCGTACTTTGTAAAATTTGCTGTGTTTAGGGACCGGAAAACCTAAGTTATGAGGTTTAAACTGTGAAAAATGGCCCAAAAAATTGGTCCTCCTTTCGCACCTATGAAATATCGCAAAATAAGTTTCCACTTTAAAACTAATTAGTGCATCTTGCTCAGAAAATTACGCTCTTTCGAATGAGCCATGTCACGTGGAAATTTCAAAATTTCGGCAAATTGCTGAAATTTCACTTGGGGGACCATGTCGTCTAAATCAATCTTTTTGAAAAAATGTTCGAACTCGTTTTATGAGATGGCTGATTCGAAAGAGCGTGATTTTCTGCAAGATGCACTAATTAGCTTTCGTGGAACTTATCGCGTTTCGTAGGTGCCGAATGAGGCCATTTCCTGGGTTTTTTAAACACTTTAAACCCCCATAATTGGTTTAAACCGGTCATTTTCTAAAATTCTACAAAGTACGTTTTAATCAGCAAAAAATTCTGCACAAGATAGGCTAGGTCCCGTTCCGAAACTCCTTGCCCACCTAAAAACGTCTCCTTGTTAGCTAAAACCTTCAAAAATCGAAATCTTCGTCAAAACCGCCCCATTTTTGGTCGAAAAAGGCTTTTTTTGTTTTTTTTTTAATAAAAATTTGTAAGGTTTTTGCGTTTAGGAATTTTAAAAGCGGTTTATGAACACTTTAGCTATTTATATTAGAAAACTGGGCCATCGGAAAAAAGTTGGTCCTCCCCCACCGATAATGCGAAAGGACCCTTTTTCTTTTTAAATATTAAAGTTTCGTATTTATAGTAGGATAGCTTTGAAGTATTTTATTAGAATTATATTAGAAATATTTTTAGTATTATTTATTTTAATTAGAAATGGCAATGGAATGGCCGTGCGCGGCGTGTGCCACGTTTCTCGGCATCGCCCACCTTTTCTTGGGCCTAGGGTGAGTCGTCTAAAACAAGCTTACAGGACAACCGGAACTCACAGCAAATCCACGTTTCAGGCTTCTGTCATTCGACGTGGCGACGAATGAAACGTCCGAGACGGCTTTTGCCTCGACCGCCGCGTTGGCCTACATCATCTGCGCGATTCTGTCGTTTATTGCGGCCAGGTAGGGGTAAAGAGATGTGGAAATGATAGAGAGAGAGAGAGAGAGAGAGAGAGAGAGAGCGATAGAGAGAGAGCATTTCTAGACGTCTCGACCGTTGTGCCCAGCTGCTCCTGTTCGCCTTCGCCGCCTTCTCAGCCCTCACCTCCCTGTCGATCTTCCTAGAAGCAGCAGTGGTCTTGAACCGGTAAGTTTTCCCCAAAAATCACCGCTAGTTGTCCATTTTCGGCTTTTCCTCGCGTTTTAAAGGGCACTAACAGGCGCACCGCCACACGCAACGCGTTCCAAAAACCGCGAATCAATTGCCCGAGGAAAATTTTGGACGGAAGCGTTGCATGCCGCGGTTCCCATAGTCAAAATTTAGAAGAAAGCGTTGTATAACCCTTTAAAAAACGCTGCTTTAGGTACTAAAAAGAAAACAGAATCTGGGTAAAAATAAGATTTTCCTATTAAAATTGGCCAGCCATCCCCCGTTTCAGCCTTTGCGCCCACGGCTGCGACCAGAAGGAAAACTTTGTGCACACGACGCTGATTTGTATAGCGTTGACGGAATGTGAGTTCTGTTCGTAGAATTCACATTTTTATATTGTTATTTTAGTTGTCGTCAGCGCCATCTCGATGATCGTCTGCTACCGGTCGTTGCGCAACGCGTTCGGGCTCAACACGGTCGCGTCGCCTTACAGGTATCAATCTTTCTTAAGCCTTTTAAACGTTCGGTTCTTTCGTATTATCGGGCAATAGTTGTCAAATTTGTATTAAAAAATACAAAAATTATCGATTTTTCTACCAAAAGTCGAACAGATAAACCTTTTTATTGTTTTCACTTGAAGTGATAAATTGTCCTAAAATGCTTTAATCTTTCTAAACTGTTTTTGCTAGCCCTAAACGTCAATATTTTAGAAATTTGCATTAAAAATCGAAAAATTATCTATTTTTTACCAAAATTTGATTTTTTTCTTGTTTTTTGCTTGAAAAATCGTTAAATTGTAATGAAAATACTATTAAACTACTTCCGTTGAAGTTACAAGGAATTTCTGGACGCACAGGAACAAAATTGGTCCCCCGATAACGCAAAAGAACCAAATGTTTCTTTCTAGCACGCTGATCGTCGGCGACTACACGACCCTCGAGCGACAGCCCCGGCCACTACGCGACCAGCGAGCCAAAAGCTTGTTATAGCTTTTGGTAGAATATTGTATTGTGATATTGACGATTGAAAAAAAGAAAAAGAAAAAGAAATGAAAAGAAAGGAAAGAGAAAATGATGAAAAGATTTGCGTCGATCGGGCCCGCATCCCCCGGGTAGTGTGATGAATTTTTGTGTGTCGAATTTTCGAGCTAACAATATGATTGTTTAGAAGAATAAAGTATTTATAAACTTGTGGCAAGAAAGTGCACACTTCCTTTATTGGAACTTCCTTTATCAGAGCAACACAAACGTGCATTTTCCGAATACGAAGGTAGAAAAAAGAAATTTAAAGTTTTTATGATCATTTTGGCAACTTTTGATGGGCGCGAAATGCTAGAAAAACTAAAACAACCGCTTTTTCACGCTTTTTAGTACTTTTTTTACTTATATTCTGCTTGTTTTCCATTTTTTTCGACCTTTTACATGATCACGTGATTTTATCTTTATTTTAGGCGGCCTTCACCGCCCGCCGATTCCCCAAGGATCGCTGCTAGCCTGCCCTCCCCCGTCGGCCGATTGGCTGATCGAGAATAAGGTATGATTTCTCAAGTACTTACAAAATTATGTTTTAGGTGTCATCTTCAAGCCGGAAAAGACGGGCCGAGACGCCCTACCCCGCAAATGGTCTCTGCTAGCCTGCCCATGCTGTGGATTTGCAAAACAAGGTACGAAGAATTCGTTATTAAAAACGGTGTTTTAGGCATGGTGCAGCAATCAAGGCGAGCCGGCTCCTAAATCGTCTCTGCTAGCATGCCCTTACTAAAAGTCGGCGTCTTGAAACCAAGGTAAGATTTAGTTATCTTTACAAAAAAAACTATGTTTTAGGCATGAAGCGTAAAGCTAGAATACCTTCCTAGAGCCCCCCGCAAAATGGCCTCCTGCTAGCCTGCCTCGGCTCGCACGGATTTGTAAAAAATATGGTAAGAAATCGTTATTTTTACAAAAACGGGGTTTTAGAAATGATGCAGGAATCAAAATAAACCGGCCGACGAGCCCGCCCCTAAATGGCCTCTGCTAGCATGTCCTTCCTGCAGTCTGTAAAATAAGGTAAGTATTCGTTATTTTTACAAAATAAAAACGATGTTTTAGGTACGAAGCATCAAGCAAGAAGAGACCGGCCTATGAACGCCGCGTCGATGATCGCCCTTCTCAAATGGTCGCCGCTAGCCTGCCCAAGTCGAGAGAAGCCGAAGATGATGGTCTGATGGGTTTGAAGCGAATGCGTGGGTTTACCGGGGTGTATTTTGTAGTTTTGGTAACGGGTTTTTGGGGTTGTAGTTTGGAGTGTAGCGTGGGAAAATTAAAGTATTTTGGTAGAGTATTTTGGGGCAATTTTTGGCTTTCAGCAACTATTTTGACAATATATGCTCATTCTCTCGTAGTGGACTTTTCGAATTGGCCGAGCCGCGTAGCCTTTAGCGGTTCTTTCGCATTATCGGGGGACCCACTTTTTTGCTAAGGATCCGATTCTTTGTAATATATATAGAGGAAGTATTTCGAGGCTGTTTGTACTATTCTTAATTGTAGAAACTTTTTAAATCAAGATTTTTCCATCAAAAATGGCCGGTTTTCGACCAAAAAAGCCAAAAATTTTCCACATTTTAATTTTTTTTTTGGAAGTTTTATTGATTGTTTTTCCACTTGAAATATAGTTAAATTTTACTGAAAGACGATTAAAATACTTCCTATTTACTAGGAATTTCTAGACTATTAGGAACAAGTTCCCACCCTCCGGTATTGCGAAAGAACCGCTTCAGTTTTTATCAACTTTATCGAATTAGCGAAGAAGAATTAGGAAATCACACGGTTTATGAAACAGCACCAGCGAAAGAAACCACACACAAAATTAGATCTGTAATAGTAGAAACCTGTAGATTATGAGATCACGGGGGAGTAGAGGAATATTATAGAAAATTAGAAAAACAAAAATATTAGCTATAGCAAAAATGTTATATAAATATACAGTTGTATTCTTTAATATCATAGATGGATAATCTTTTTTCGTGGGCTTTTTAAAGACCCATCTGAGGGTACCCTCCTGGCGCGGGGAACGGGGGCATCGTCATGTGCGCCGCGTACACCTGAATTGTTTACTTGTAATCATGGTTTTTTTTACCGTATTTCATGATCTTTTAGTGCCGAATTTTTTATACTAATCGAAGGCGAGCCAGCCAAGATCTTTGAGGAATTTTTCGGCTTCAGATCGGCGGTTTTAGATAATTTTTCCTTCTCAGCTACAACGGCCTGTTTTCTGGCGAATAGCTGAGTTTAATTATTTTTCGTTGAGTGTTTAGACGTGGTCTCGATTGCAATGGCCAGCTAGCATACACTTTTGTGGAATTTTCGCCCTAAAAATCAACTCTCCTGGGAATTTTTTTGGAAGCTGATTTAGAATAGTTTAACGCTGTTTCAGTCTCAGCCAAAGGAAACCTTTTCGGAATTTTCTCCAAAATACCTTGGACCCTTTTTTTCTTGCTCGGTTTTAAGATCCAACCTCATTTTGCAAATATTTACTAATTTTGGGTAATTCAAGTAGTTGATTGGTTTTTCTTGTGATTCTATTTATTTTAATTCGTGGATGATGAGGTAGTAATAGGATTTTTTAGCGGATTTTTTGGACTCGATGGCAAGCTAGCACAGATTTTTTAGGAATTTTTTGGGCTCAAAATTGAATTTTTAAGTTATTCCAGTTTTCAAACCATTCCCTCAAATTTTTTTTTGCTTGAAATTTTGACCTGATTTTGCAACTCTTGCCCAATCGATCGAAACATTTCGGCCCACGTGCGCTGGTTGATGATCCCGAATCCGTGGGTGATCTGCAACAAAATCGGGTTGAACTCGTTGAACTCGGTGAAACCCCCCTCCCCCGCTAACAGTCTAGTACCAAAAAGCCCACCAAGCTGTAGGTGTTGAAGCCCTGTTGGAGGGTGGGGTCCTGGAACGCCTCCGGGTCTCGCTCCTGCACCGGCGTCTGCACGACGTTCAGCAAGTGGCACATCTCATTCATGATGCTTCTAAAGTTCGTAATGGAATTAGTTATTTTGTTTGAAAAAGGCAGGCCAGCAGAGATTCTTTTGGAAAGGGCAGGCTAGCAGAGATTCTTTAGGAAAGGGCAGGCTAGCAGAGATTCTTTAGGAAAGGGCAGGCTAGCAGAGATTCTTGAGGAAAGGGCAGGCTAGCAGAGATTCTTTAGGAAAGGGCAAGATGGCAGTGATTAGGAACGCACTACCGGAAATTTACAAAATTCATAAACCCACAAGAAGCCGGCCAAATCCTGTTGTTTCCGCTGGAATCCGGCCGGGCCGAGGGCGGCCCAATTCTGGTAGAGGTGCGAGGCGACGTTTTGTCGGGGATACCCGCTGACCGTCAGTTTGTCGACGTCGGTGGCGAGCTGTTCGGCTTCCGCTGAAATTTTTGTTTAGTTTTGTAGCGTTTGGCTAAGTCTCTCCTAAAAAATCTCTGCTAGCCTGCACTTGCCTAAAAATCTCTACTAACGGCCTTTCTTTAAGAATCTCCGCTGGCGACCTTTTCCAAAAACTCTCTGCTCGCCTGGAATTTCCTAAAGATTCTCTGCTAGCCAGCCCTTTCCCAAAGAATTCCTGCTAGCCTGCCATCTCCTAGGGAATCCCTGCTAGCTACCCTTCCTTAGGGTTCTCTGCTAGCTCTCTCTCTCTCTCTCTCTCTCTCTCTCTCTCTCTCTTTCATCCACTCATAAACTTACCTTCAACCAGTGACGTTAATAGCGTGATGATCGCCGTTTTCCGTTTCCCGGTCGGGAGCTCGATTCCAAAACTTTTCAGCTCCTCCCGTAGACCCCTTGCCGTTGTTCGTTTTCTTGGCCCTAAAAATATTGGCATAGAGGGAATTAATAAGATAAAATATACTAAAATATATTTTGAGTTCGAAAATGGACTTTAGAAACTCCAGAAAACGAAGGTCCCTTACTTTCTCATCAATGCCGCAAAAACGCTGCTATTCAGCCCCTCATCGTAGATGCGGCGCTTCATCTCGGCCGTGCACACCTGAAAAGCATCATTTTTTGATTAGATTTTTTTGCTAAAATGAATTTTTCTATATTTTTCGACATTCTAAATTATCAAAAAAAAATCAAACGAAAAATGAATTTTCAAAAAAAGGGGTGCTTTCGCAATATCGGGGGGGGGGAGGCTTCCTATAACCCCAGAGATGCCTAGCAACGTAATAGTAAGTATTTGAGTAGTTTTTAGTAGAGTTCGAGTATATTTTAGGTGTGAAAATCATATTAAAAAATGAAAGAATTTTTAGTCGAGATTTTGGTCGAAAAATCGACATTTTTGCATTTTTTTGATCGTTTTTGTAAATTTTTTCCTGGGGAATAGGAAAAATAATAGTTAGGAACATTTCGTTATATTAGAAAAATAGGATTTTATGAAAAATTTGCCCCTCCCCCCGATAATGCAAAAGAACTCGCAAAAAGTTATTTAAAGAAAATCTAATCTAGGTTTTCTAAATGATACATTTCCTAAAAAATCTCTGCTAGCCTGCCCCATCCCAAATTATCTATGCCAGCCTGCCCTCCACCTACATCATATTTCCCTCCATTTCCCATCAAATTCAGCCTGCCGGCCACTTTGAACACTTTCGTGTTCGTCTGCTGCTGGGCGACCGTCATTTTTGGGGGTTGATTCTCCTGGTCATCCGCCTCGTCCTCATCACTCGTTTCCGGCTCGGAGTCCGTCTCCTCCTAGAAAATTTTGAGCTTAGTTGAACTAAGATGTTTTTAGACTTGCCTGTTGCTCGGGATTGGCGTAGATTTGGGGCGGCGGCAGATTCTGATCTGGGAGCATCAGATTCGCGTCGAAATTGAACTGGAAGTGGAGGATTTTTTCGACACCATTTTTTAATTATTATTTTCAATTTAGGTCAATTTAGTTTAATTTAATTGAATTTAGTTTCCGCCAGTTTAATCTGAACTTTGAGTACGATTTTCCTTTGACTAAAATTTAATTTTTTTTCGTTGTGGCTCTTTGGCATTAACGGGCGGGGGCGCAACATTTTTTGGATCCAATTTTTCACATACAGTTATCTGAAGTTTTTCTAACTGTTTTCTTTACTATTCCTGCACCTAAAATTTGTCAAATTTTGGTTAAAAATACATACAAAATAGATTTTTCCACTAAATATGGCCGTTTTTGACCAAAAGGCGACTGTTTTTAAAATATTTAAGCGTTCTTAGACGGTTTTTTATTCAGATATAGTTTTATTTTTACTAAAAACGCTTTCAAAATTCTGGCGCTTAAATTTCTGGGCATTTCTAGACAAAACAATCGCCCCCCGCTAACAGCCCAGGGCCTAATTTGTAGTCTAATGTGATATAAAGAATTTTAATATTTTTCTAAATAATCTTAATAAGTATAAACGTTTTGTTGGTAATTACATGAAATAAGGGAAAAATTTAATGTCAAATTTAAGCCAAAATTAATGAGGGATGCGATACCTGTAACGGCTGCATCATCGGCGGCGGGAAATATGGCATCTGATTTGAGAAGGGGGCCAGGTTCTAAATATGAATTGAGAGACGATTCATTGTTGTTTTAAATCATTTTTAATACGCTTAAATTAATGCATTTAGTAATTTCTTTTCTATCAATTTTAAATATTTCATTGTTTTTCTAAGACCCTCAAGTTTTGCTCTTCTTTCCTCCACTTTACAAGCTACGCCCGGGCTACCGTACCTGATAGTATCCATGCGGAACTGGCGGGAGCATGTGTAGCGGCTCCATCCGCGGCATCTTCGGGTCAGCGTGCCCATCGTGGTCGAGGTCTTCGAGTCTCCTTTTTGACATTGTAGTCTTATCAAAATATACCTGAAAAAACGTAATGAGATGATTAAATTACTGAAAACTGACACTTTTGAAAAAATTTCGGGTGCTTGTGCATTTGGGGGGGTTACGAGATGCTCCGTTTACGTTATTTTGTTTTTGACGTATGGTTAGGCTCAGCTTTGAGTAAACCAAGCTTAGCTTAAGCCTAGGCTTAAGCTGAAGCTTGAGCTCAGCTTAGCTTAGGCGAAGCTTGTTTGGTCTTAAGCTTCGCTTATAAGCTGAGAAAGTACGGTAAGAGACGTAGGTGGTAGCGTTTTGTAGTAAATGCGTCCCCAGAAAATAATTAGGTCCAGAAGTGTTGGATTGAATTCAAAAAGGGCGGCTAGGTTTATTTTGTTGCAAAATTTAATTTTAGGTCTAACTGGCACTGTAATTTTTATTCCTGGGGATTTTCTATATTTTATTAGACCTTTGACCGCTAGGAATAACCCTGAATCACGTATTGAATTAAATTTGAAACTCAAACTAGAGTTATTTAGCTCAGAAAGTTTAATTTTTAGGGGCCTTTAATTTATTAAAGCAGTTTTTAATTTAAATTTTATGCCTGTTTAATTTTATATTTTATGTGACTCTTTTGGGCTCTAGAAAAACCTATTAGTGCCCAAATTTACTACAAATAGCTGCCAAGCTAAAAAATTCACTATTAGCCCCGGGGATACAAAATTAATGCGCCCCGGAAAAGGGCAGATTTTTAGTGATAAACTGGTGGATCCAGGGCGGGGGGGCGCAGATTTAGAATGAGAGCCGCGGGGAGGGCTTGGTGAGGATGGTTTGGGCGGGATAGGGCCCCAGGGAGATGGGCCCTTAGGGTACTACCCTGGGCCCTCGGGGTATTGTAGGTGACCTAGATGTCGGTGATGGGGGGAGGTGTAGAGGTCCCCGAGGTCCTCTGATCGATGTGAGAATCGGGGGGTTATTGTGTCGATTGGAGAATTGGGGGGGGGACGAGCAAGGATCTCTGCTAGCCTGCCCTGTCATAAGAAAACGTGATTCTGGGCACGGCAGGCTAGCAGCGGTTCTTTAGGACATGTTCCTGAGAGAACTTGGCTACTTGTCCCTTTCCTAAAGGGTCACTGCTAGCCTCTCTCTTTTTAAAGATTCTCTGCTAGCCTGTCACTCCTAAAGAATCACCGCTAAAAATCTCGGGGAAATGGCTTGCTAGCAGAGATTCTTTAGGAAATGGCAGGCAATCTTAGAAATAGCGTAGGAACTACAGAAAAAGGCGGTGTACAAAGAATCTTTGGGAAAGGTCCTCCGCTGGTCGCCTTTCCTAATCTCTGCTCCCCCCCTCCGAAAAATCACAGTTTCTGGGCACGGCAGGCTAGCAGAGATTCTTTAGGAAAGGGCAGGCTAGCAGAGATTCCTTAGGAAAGGGCAGGTTAGCAGAAATTATTTTGGAAGTATTTTGTTAATGCTCCCTCTAATTTCCCAGTATTCTTTGTTAACCTATTCCGATCACCAACCAGTAACCCTAGCTTTCCGCTTTTCCCTCTCCGAACAGCTGCTGAACCCCAGCGTTTAATTGTTTGAACTCGTCGCCCCCCTGAAAGTTTGTTTGAGGCTTTGTTTTTTGTCGGGAGAAAGCGAGAGAGAGAGAGAAAGAGAGACAGAGGCAGAGAGTGTCCATCTACTCGAGTGTTGCCATCCGGTCACCCCATATTTTACAGGAACGGCTGGGAACTGGGAACGGCTGGCTTTTACAGGAATGCCTCACAAAAAAAACGTTGATTTATCGCGTAACCGGGTTGACTGACACCTTTTGCAGGCCATTTTCCGATCTCCAGGGCCAGATTTCGCCGAAATCGGTGAATTTGGTTGCACGAAAAATGACGCTTGCAAAAAATGGATCTCGTGATCGCTCAATATTGGTGTATGCCCGCTGACGGTAGAATTTTCGACAGCTGAAACGCTAAATTTCATGCGATGAATATCGAAGCATCTGTCGGGATTTTAGTATGTCGGCTTTTTGATGGTTTTCATATTAGAACAACAGTGTTGCCCCTTTCTTCTCCCAAATGGACACGGCTAGCTTGCCCGATGTCGGCCATTTTTAGTAGATTATACCAGTAAAAATACCGACAACCGAAAATTCACGAAATAAACTGTAAAGCGATAAAAAAAACTAAATTACTGGGGCATTGTATATTTAAATCCTCTATTGGCTTGTCGTGTCGGGAATTTAGCGTTGCCATTTTTCTTGTCGGTATTTTGTCTGTTTCCGTTTCAGGAGAGAACAACAGCAACCTGACCCAACCATTCCCAATTGCACTAAGCTAGCTTGCCCGTGACGAGTCATTCTAGGTGGATCAACGATAAAAATGCCGACAAGCCAAAATACCGACAGCCGAAAAGCTAACGGACTGCACGCAGCACTAGGTCTATTTATCCGGCTCCTATCTTGTCTCTCTCTCGCTCTCTGGCTCTCTAAACTCCCTATCTCTCTCTCTCTCTCTATCTCTCAAACTCCAGGAATCGCCACAGTCGACTCGGACTCCCTAGTTTTTGTCAAATGATCACTGCTAGCTCGCCCCCCTCCGGCCATTTCCCCAGAAGCTTCGGTGTCGAGCACGGGACGACAGATAACGGCCAGTTGGCTCTCAGCCATCCAGCCGCGGACTATAGCCTCCTCGTGGCCCCGGGGGCTATCTGTTCCGCTAATGACCCTTACACCGCGTTTTCGAGGGGTTTTTTGCTGACAAAGGGCCAAAAAAATTGGCTTCGGGGTTTGAGGTACACCTTTCTGTAGTGGAACTACGCTTTACAGAGAGACAAATCAAAATTGCGTCTTAACATATCGGAAATTTCGCTCGTAAACTATACTTTTTGGAAGCATTCCTATCTTTCTGATATTGTATAGGGACCGACAAAATTAGGATCCGGACGCTTGGCTGGGGAACGGATTCTTGTCCGGTAATTCTGCACGGCTCTATAACGCAATATAAATAATTTTTCTAGCATTTTTCGGAGTTTTTAGATGTAAAAGTTAGAAACCTGTGCGACAATTTTTGACTTTTGGTCTAAAATTTCTAAAAACGGCTAAAAACGGTCAAAAACTTTGATTTTTCAACATTTTAAAAAAGATTTTTCATAAACTTTGAGCAATCAAAAACTACCAAAAACGCTATAAACATACGCCATTTATGATTAAGAGGTGGTAAAACCAAAATTAGTTTGCCTTGATACCCCCCCCCCCGCTAACACTGCAGTACCGAATCTCCTCTTTTTAGCGCTATTAAATGCTATAGTCGTCCTGCTACAAAGTCCGTGAGACTCCGCCGAGACGTCCCAACCAACTGTTCCAACCCAAAGGGGGGGGGCAAAGTGCTCGAGGGGAGAAATTGCTGGCAGACGACCGCTGGCCATGAAGCCAAAGTCCGACCGGATGTTCTTGGGGGGCTTTGGATGTTGATCGGGGGTCAGGCTAGCCGTGATCATTTGGGAATTTTCACTGATCAACTAATTTCGCAGGCCTGGAGGTATATTAGTCGAAGAAGCGTGACTCTAGGAAAGGGCAGGCTAGCAGAGATTTTTTTAGAAAAAGGCAGGCTAGCAGAGATTTTTAGAAAAAGGCAGGCTAGCAGAGATCCTTTAGGAAAGGGCAGGCTAGCAGAGATCCTTTAGGAAAGGGCAGGCTAGCAGAGATTCTTTAGGAAAGGGCAGGCTAGCAGATATTTTTTAGAAAAAGGCAGGCTAGCAGAGATCCTTTAGGAAAAAGCTGGGAGCATTTATAGCGTCTTTTTAGTTGTAGATTATAGTTTTTTGTTGGAAGTAAAATACCATTTTTTAATTCTTTTCCACGTCCCCACCGTTCGTTCCCACGTGGGGTCAGCAGTCCAGTGCCAGGCGGCGGGTTCATTCCCCGTTCATTTATTTCCCCCGTGTTCTCTCTCTTTCTCTCTCTCTCTCTCTCTCTCTCTTCTCTCTCTCTCTCTCTCTCTCTCTCTCTCTCTCTCTCTCCTCGTCCCCCTAAATTCCCATTTTTTCACCGATCCTCGGCGTGGGGGTCTAGATTTATCGGCGGGACGGTGGTGATGGCGGGCGCTATCAGCGGAGTGGCTGGAAACGTGACTTCCCGGGGCGTGGGATCGACCAGCTGGACGGCTAGGGGTCATTGAATGAACCGAAAAGTGTCGAGTTTGAGAATTTTTGAAGGTTTCTGGTGTGTTTAAAAGGAATTGGAACGGTGTTACTGTCGTTTTTTCGGTCTTACAGGTGTAACCGCGGCCGCTACACGCGACGCACGCGTCTTCACTGGACCTGCGGGTAGGGGGTGGTAATCGATTACGCACTGAAAAGACAGGTGGCGCGTTGCGGGTGGCTCGCGCGGTTAGATACAGTATCAAATCCGTAGCTACGAATCCATAGTTTTGCCTTGCCGGCCCCTTTAAACTCGTCAAACGCGTTGCGTGTCGCGTTTGCTGTGAAAATCCACCGTAGAAGATTAAGCCATCCTTTGCCCATTCCTTTAAATTGCTTAGACGCGTTGCTTGTTTTTACGCGGAAAAAATTTACGAGGAAAATCCATAGCTAAAAAGCCAGTCTTGCCTTTCCTGGTCGTTGAAATTGGCTATACGTGTTGCTTGCCGCGGCGCGGAACCGAGCAAAACCTAGATTTATCACTTTCCCGGCCCTTGAATTGGCAGGATATGTTGTTAACACTTTTAAAATGAGTTTTCTAATTAAAGAAAGAAAATAGATAAATTCTGGCTGCCTTCCTAAAAATCTCCTAGCCCGGACTGAGGTTGTTAAGCAGAAACAGCTATCCTTCCTAAAGAATCTCTGCTAGTTGTCTCGTGCTTGAGGTTGATCAGCTTTTAAAAAAATCGGAATTTGTTCCTAAAGAATCTCTGCTAGCTGCCTCGAGCCTCTGCCGTGAAATTAGCATTGTTCGCCTCCAGACAGCCCCGTCTTTGGAAAATAACGGGGGTGGCTGGGAGTAAACAACTCTCTCTCGTGAGTTT